CCCGGTTTCTTAAGTTCTTTGAATCCTCAATTACCAGGCTCTTCTTCTCCGGATCGATACATATGCAATACTTTTCGGCGATTCTCCGACATTTCACGATCAAGGAGAACCCGTGGATTTTGTATGCTCACAAAGAATTAACGTAGCCTCACGCTCCAGCAAAAATGGATCACCAAGCTGCTTGTCTTTGACTCACAGCAAGATAGCATGCAGAGATGTTGTTTACAGACATTGCAAAGCGGGCTTGTTCTATATCCTACACGAAGCCATAGGAACGAAGGAAATGAACACAACGAGAAGACTACTGATGTATTAGAGCAGAATATTCCAAGAGAAAAATAAATGAAACGCGGTGTTGGAGTAGCAGAAATATGGGCAGTTTTGGATCAGAATTGGCTCCTACAATAGCCACAGGAGCAACAGCGTTTGAAAAAAAAATTAAAATTAATAGAAATAGCGATAAAAGGACAATACAGTGGAGACGGTAATCGGGAACGTGAAGATTCAACTCTGAACACAACGCACGGTGGAGACGAGATGTCAAGCAAAGCAAGGCGTTTTTTTTACTTGCTCTACCCTGACGATTACGACCACATGCCAAAATGGAAGAAAACGTAAGGATTTATACAGGAAGTTGTGATTAGTCACAACTGACCAACTAACCGGCTCTAAAGTGATGTCTGCTCAGATAAAGCATTCGTACTATATAATTCCTTCAGTACAGAAAACCTAATGCTACCGCAATTTGTATCATAGGGGAGTAAGAACATTAAACGGAAAGAACTTCGCATCAATGGCAACTTCGATCATCCTCGTCCCTACAGCAAATGTCAAAGCCACCTACCACCGTGAAACGAGGTGAGACTTCAAAGATAATAGCTTAGTGTCCAAGAGGAACGATTAGAAGCAGAAAACCAAAACTCGAAAGGCTGAATGCCTATCCGAAGTCACCCGTGAGTTCCAGGCCCACCAGAGTTCATTCGTAAGGACGATTGCACTGCGTGCTACTACGAATTAGCTACAGCAGTTATGAAACTACGTAATGACATAGATTTCGAGAGACGGTACAAAGGAGCTTCCACAAGTATGCATTATGTAGCCATATTCAGGAACTCCTCCACTATACCAATGAGGTGGGGCATTCTGGTGCGAAGCACCCAAACCATTCAGAGCAAGATGAGCATTCTCCTTAAGGATGAACGTTGAAGCAAAGTACCCTAGTTTCTGGGAAAAAGCACACCTTGCAGAATCGCACGCGCCAACGCGCGCGAAAAGTTGCTCGTACACAGCGACAATTTTTTGTCTTGCAGGACAAGTCTCCCAATTGGTTCACAATCACCTAGTGCTGCTAATAATATGGAGAAGAACAAACAAAACACGTAACAGTAAACTGAGAAAGGAAGATTCGCGGCGCTCGAAATGAAGGCACGCTCCATTTTCCGGAAACTAGGGTGTTAGCCACCTATTGTGAGCAGCATAGCCAATAGCTTGCCATAGGGGAATGGTTCATTCACTTTAGAGCTCCTAAACCTACGCTTATGGAGAATGCTCACCCTTTGCTCACCATCGTTTCTTTTCACCTGCTTTCACTGAATGCCTCCCTATACCAAAAAAATGAGTTAATGGCGTAAAGCGAAGCTACTGACATTTCGAAGACTTAAAGGAGTCAGTCTACAAGACTGTAAAGACGTACTTTGCAAGAACCATTACAACAGATCTGCACTTTACTGGAAGAGCGCCCTTACCAAACTCATACAGTCTGAATACAAAGCGCCCCCTTCCAAAATTATACAGTTCGAGTATAGCTTTGCTATACACAATATATCTAGTTGATTTGATATACACAATACAAAAGCTTCGTCTATCAAATAATGATGCTGAGATAAAAAGAAAAACCCAAACGAAGAAAATCACTCAAAAGAAAACAACCAACCTCGACAGATCCTTCTTCGAATCCGAAACGTTTCTGGACGACAGATGTCAATTCCTTAATGCGGCGTCCACGCTCTCCAAGAACAGACTGAGTGCGAGTAGCCATGATGATGACCTCAGCACGAGCAGGAGTGCGACGCACCTTCAAGACTTTTGAGCTCCACAAGGGTTCGAAAAAAGAAAAAAACGAAAACCGAAAAAGGAGTTCAGCCCACACGGTCATAAAAAAGTAGTTAGATGGCAAAACTCACCTCGACACCTGAGTATCCATCCTCAGCAAGCTCTTTCATGAGGAAGTTGTTCAACTCAGCCTTGAACACTCCGTCCGTCCAACACGGCCTTCTTTTTCTTTGTAATTTGTGGAGCACTTGCCATATTTGCCCTCCGTTCAAGATACCTACGTTGTCAATTTACATCAGAAAAATTTCACGAAGACTAGCAGGGTCAGATAATGCGAAATCCAACGGAAACTAATCAACAGATAGCATAGAAAACGATGAGCTGTATCCACTAGGAGTCACGAACTGCCACCCGCAGACAAAAACGGTGACAAAAAAAACCTTTGAAACTACCAACAGGAAACCACGACACTTTCATGAGGTTCACACTGAAAACAAGAACGCAAACAACAACTAGAAATAAAAATTTTTTGGCTTAAATTTTTTTGCCAAGTTCTCCCGTTACTGAACCAACTATTACCGGAAAAAGGTCACAAAGGACGGCAGGGCAAGACAATCTCCAATCCTTCGCACAACCGAAATATTCGAATAAAAACACCGATGAAAACAAATTTTATAAATTTTCTAAAATAATGAAAAGTTGAAAACGGTTTGGCTGCTCAACGCTGTGTGACAGGAGCAGATACTCAGTCAAGATTGACTACCGTAATTCACATCCGTCTGAGACCCTCACGCTCGTGTGAAAACTCGTCCTGTCGTTCGTCATTCATGTCAGTCACATTCGATCGAGCGTCACTGGACGTCGTTCCTGGGGAGACTTCGTCGTTACCAAATTGTACATATAATAAAGCGTTAAATATTTACTTGCGGCGAAATGAGCCCTTATTGTTCTCATTTGATGTCTGTTTGGGACTTCAGTCGCCGTCACTGT